AAACCTTCACTGATAGCAACCAAAACAAACCCATTATGTAATCTGAACTCTGTTGGGATCTTGGGGGTCTAGAATCTAGATGTACCCAACCTTACCTTACCAACAGAGATGCCATTGTTTGATTATTTTTAGACCACTTAGACTTAGACCATTGATGTACAGTTACATTTATCGCTCAAAATTCATAAAAAGCAGGAGAAGTTAAGTATGCCATATTAATTTAGTATGCCATATTAATTTAGTCCAGGAGCTAAAACATTGTCAAATTGGCTATTTGAAGTCCATTGGCAATGGGAAAAAATTAGATAAAAAATCATATCCATTACATGTAATATTTTTATTACTCCTATATTTATCTGGAGTGTACAGTGTTCCAAGATTTAGAGCCTTAATCCATGATGACTTCTTTTTGCATAAAGTTATTACTTTCAAAGAAGGAATTACCTCGTCTTTGTCTGAATCATTGCACCCATTGTGCCTATCATGTGGGTACAGAAACAATCGTGCATCAATAATAATGGCAAGATCATCCACCGCCTCTGCATATTCACCGGCATATGCACCATTCTCGTGAAACAATCGAACTCTTTTTCTGACAAGCTTTCTGTTTGTGTTGAAGTCCCTCAAGTCCAGATCAATTTCAAGTGACGAATATGCTGGCAATCCCAGCCATGTTCTTGACAGACTCAGGTTATTCTTCATTCGCACTGGTTCAAAGTCATTCTGCTTCTCAAAGAGGACACACGCTTCTGAATCATAGTTTCCATAAGTGCTCTTATATCGCGCAACAATTTTACCAGCAACATTAACAAGTTGGCTCTTGTCTTTGCCAGAGAATCCAACATGCACTTGGCAAAGAGCAGCAAATGGCATAGCAATATAAACCAAGGTAGCGGAGCAAAGCGTGCATTGAAATTCTTTTGATCTTACTTCTTCAAAATCACATTCAGTTGAATCCTCCACCAAAATTTCCTCTTGCGCAAACGGAACAACCTTATCCTCAATTTTGAGATACAGATCCACTCCTACAGTTGTTCCGTGCAATCCCATCCACAAATCTTGATGATTACGGAAAGTATCAGGCCAACCAAGAGTTAAATCACCACCACTTGGGCCAATGCAGTCACCATCATCGGCACTCCGAGTGTAAACATCAAGCTGCATCACTTCTCCACTCCTGATATTTTGATACTTAACCCAAATCGTACCAAATACCACTAGTGGTCTGTTTTGTAGGGCTTCTTTTGGTTGTACATGTACCGAATGCACATGAAGTAAAGGCCCAGCTTCAACATGTTCTCTGCCTTTAAGTTCTTCCGTTTCTCTTGTGATACTTACGGATTGAATAACCTTATCAATCACTCTGAGATTGTCACTAGTGATGATAAACTTCTCGACATCTTTTAGTGTGGCATAGGGGTACTCTTTTAGAAGCTTCGTGGCGTACACTATGCAATCACTCACTCTGGGAGTTTCAAGACTGCGGAAAAACTTCTCCGCATCTTGTAGTGAACCATAAGGGAAGTGCTTTATAAGCTCTCTGGCAGCATCCATGATGCAAAGAATGATTTGCTCGCTGCAGTTTATCTCCTAGGTTGAGAAACGAGATAAGAGATCTTAAAAGACCCAAAAAAGAATGAAGCTTGAGAATAAAGTACATGTGTTACCCTCCCAGAAAAAGGCAAATTGCGCAAATTGATTGAAGAAACATAGAAATCATGTGCTTTACCCTCTTTAGCGAAGTCAAGAAACCATCAAAAATGCATAAATTGGTTGCAGAAACGTGATCTAAAACGTGGGCTCAATGCAAGTGTTCTTGTTTAATGGAATAAAAAAACAAAAAACCCGCATAGATGAATCTAGCATAATAAAATAAAAAAACAAACCTAGTCATTTAACCCCTTATTCTTACAATCCGACCAAAAACAATACAAATTCATGGATTACGTTTACCTCGAAAACGATTTGTTGCGGGTGCCTACGGGAATAGCGGCAACGAGCGAATGACGAAGACAAGTTGGGATTAAATAGTTCTTCAAAACTCTTAATCGGAAGTCTACTAAAAAATACGGACTCAGATTTTAATTACTCACTCCCTCCCTTTTACATTACAATATTCCTTTTTAGATAAAATTAAGGAAGAGTAAAATCAGTATTTTTTTCCCAAATTACCCCCAAATAGTACATGATTGGGTGGGTAGGTGAGATTTTGACATTGAAATGATAAAAGGGAGAGAGGGTAAAAGAGTCCATTTAGTGTAAAAGTAAAAATTTTGTAATTTTTTTTGGGACAAAAATAAGAGGTAATTTAATTGGAGACGGAGGAAGTATGAACTTTTTGCAAATGATTGTATTTAATTATTTATGATATGAAAAGTTTTTTTGCTGGTTCTATTTTCCTTTTTCATCTTTTTTATTTTTAAAATTACAATGTTGGTGTTACTTACCATTTCAACATTCTCTTTTTAACTTAAATTTATAATCTTTTAATACAAAATTTGAAAGCTTGATGTGTAGAATGGTGACATGCTACATTTTAAAGGTTTTATTTTAATGACAGTCACCTTACACGTGTCTTTCTACGAACGTCCACAAACAGAATACTCACAAACTTTACAAATTTACTATTAATGATTTAAATTTTCATTTTAAATTTATTTAGACAATTTAATTTTATTTATGAAGTTTGTAAACATTTTTTCCATCTACTATCAAAGACTTTCCCAATTCCCTCTTCTTCGTTCTTCGCATATCAGGCTTAAATTTGCAAGCATCTTCATCCCTGATTCTTCTCCAAAAATGCACGAATTTTTCACTTGATTTCATCGCGGAAGGAAAGAAATTCATCACGGACTCCGTCATCGAAGGAAGTTCTCCAAATTCGCTTGATTTCAAACTAGGTAAGTTTCCAAATTTGACAAAATCTAGATCCAAATTTGAGATGCTTCGTCTCTTCTTCATGGAAAGAAAGTCTGTAAAACACCAAAATTGAGATTCATATCTCTTCCGCTGATCCTCAAGAAGGAAAATTTTCAGAGTAGTTCCATCAAAATAAAAAACTGCTCAAGTGGTTGCAGTAGAAATTGTAAGAAACTTCTTTGCCTTCAGTCATTCTTCACATGCACTGAGTTCAAATATGCTCTCTTGAACGCATTTATGATCCCATATGTTGTTTTACGTTGGTTTGAACAGGATCCAAGTGATCCATCCATTGGATTCATATTAGATGGAATGGAATGGAGGGCCTTTGTTGTCTAGTGCGGAAAATAATTAGGAAAGACTTTTCCAAAAAAAGGTAATTAAACTTTTTATATTCCTATGCATCTTCTCTTTTTTTGGCACTATATTTGCCTGTGTAATTTGGGATTGAAAAAATTATTCACCAATTTATGCACTATCTTACTCCTTATGTTTAATTCCTCTCTACAAAAAATTTCCTCTCCTTATGTTTAACAGTTCTTGCCAATCAAACAATTCTTACAGAATTAATCTTGCCACCTTCCTTTTAGTTCCCTCCAGCTTATATATTTAAATTTACAATATTTGTAATATGCTAGAAGAACTGGTTGATTAAGAAAATTTCGTTTTATTTTTTCTAGGAATGAAATAAATAATGTGAGTTAATCATTCTTTTAAATATAAAATAAAGTGAAATAAATAATGTGAGCCAATCATTCTTTTGAATAGAAACTAGATAAACTCCAAAACTTTTTATAAAAATAAAAAAGAGAAATGTTTGGTTGGAACATTTGGGAGGTTGATAAAGGAAGGTTCAATATACGTCTTTACTTATTTTAGCATAATCAATAATACTCCGTACTAGATATTATTGCATGTCAAGACATGAGTTTCAAAAAAACTTCCAACCAAGAACAATTATTGTCACTATAGTGTATAGTCTACTGTCTATATATAATTCCAATAAAATTCCTATGTATGGCCTTAGGTTGATTTATTTTCAAGAGATCTTTCAAGCAAAGTCAAATTGTCTGTCAGTAATTAGTTGATAATGTTGCCTTCATATGCTTAATAAGTTTATTGTAATCTTCTTCCAAGGTCTAATTTCAAAACTTATTGGTGTATATTTTTTTGCTTTTTACTATGACTTTCACAAAATATTACAAACACTATAGGAATGCGGTTGTTGTGAGAAATGACAAAATTATAGTAAAGGAGTCCAAAAGAACAAAGATACTCAAGATTACTTTTTTGAGGCAGAGAGGTACTATATTAATTTATCACTTTAATAACCAAGAGTTGAAAGTATGAAAATGAGCTTACAAAGGTTGAAAGATCTTAATTTCACTGTTCATTCAAATATTGCCTTGTAATTGTTTTTCAAAAGCAGAGCATATATAATTAAAAGCAGTTAATTGAAATATTTGAAACCCATAACTCTAGAGCACAAAGCATGCAATTTGAAGCAATCCTCAT